TTTCTTTTCTTTCTCTCTCTCTCTCTCTTTTTTTTTCTTCCCCCCCCCCTCTTTTTCCCCTCCGCCGGACACGGTAGTCGACTGCATGAGAAAGCGCCGAGATTGCGCCAGCGGAAGACCGGATATCAATCGCATCTTTTTTAATGGTCTCTCGCTGCTGAGCGGATAATGACTGTGCCAAAGGTATCTCAACATCTCACGTCAGTGACGTGAAAGGGTCGAGTCTGATGGATAAGCACGATAGAGTCGCAATAAAATCCCGCATCGGAACGCAAGCGAATCGGTCGCTGTGGAAAGGGCATGACTCACAACTTTTCTACGAAAATAAGTTCTATCGGAGGGGAACACTGTACCGTTAGGGTAGCCTCGGCGATCCGCGCAGGAAGGTCTTGAGTCCGCGCTTAAGACAAGGCAAGACTCCTCTCTACGCAATTCTATTCCTAATTATTCTCGATTTCGGAAAAGATACCAAGCGACAATAAGAATCGCGCGACTTTTACAAATTTATCTGTTATAATATGCGTACACAAGAGTGGCTGTACCGAAATTCCGTTTTCAAAATGATCAGAACGAAATGATCGGAAATTCCTGTCGAAGAATTTAAACTAACAAGAGATTTCTAATTAATTTAAACAGGAATTTGGTAATTTCAATCGGAATGTCTGACTTTGAAGGAATTTTGGTACGACAAACCAAACTATTTTTTTTACGTCATCGAAATTTTTCGCAATATATGTTAAGAAAAGTAAAGTTACAAATTTTCTGTCTTTCTACCCTTTAAAATCTTACGAGTATTAAATATAAGAATTAAATAGAAATATTTGCTTTGCAGACAATAATTTAAAGACAAATGCAAGACTTTTCAGCGCATCTATCATTTTCATTTCATTTTTATTGTGTGATGATTTCTGTTTACATTATCTACGTAATTTTACATACTTTTTCGACAGTATGCAAATTAATTAAGAAAATTTATATTCTTACTCGGTGATTCATCCCTACATTCCTGCGAATGGAATAAATCGAAACGACACGATCGAAATCTTAATAATGGGACTGTTATTTTCAATTTCGAGACGCATGTTCGAAGACAAATGTTCGAGAAGGACGAAAAAATAATTAAGGATCGTAAAATTATTTGCGTAATTAAAGGCGTCTTAAAGTACCGCGCCGGTACATCTCGTTTCTCAACAGCCGCGGGAGGTTGAGAAGTGTAATATTACCGAAGAGATCCTGTAATATGATTTAGCGCTCGGCGTGCGGTGCTCCGTTAAGAGACTTCGTTCTTTCTTTCTTTTATTCCCGACGTAACTTCTCGTACGCGATATGTACGAGATATGTTAACGCGACGTGCAAGATGACACGAGCGGATAATACCGCAGTGGAGCATCGCCAATTAAATCGCACTTTGTTATTTCCTATTAACTGTTCTTTTTTCCACGTTGCATAGCGCAACAATTAAATAATTAAATAAGCGCGCGATCCGCTGCGCTGCGGCATCGCGCCTTCGGAGAAAGGAAACGCAGGAAGCAGGAAACGCTACAATTGCAAATGGGATTCCCTTGTGACTTCTCGCGCGTGTTACTTTCCGCGTGTTCACAATCGAGAACACGCGTGTTCGCGACTTCCCCGCGGATGAAGCTGTAAAGTCTTTAATGAGCCTTAATAAACTACCCTTTGAAGATCTATTATTTACGATTTTACGTAACTCGCGCAATTATTCACATAATAACGCGTGTCGTTTTTATTTGCGGCAAAAGATTTTGATAACTACAAAAATGAAAAGGATTGAATAGGTTGTCAGTTTCATAAACTTCGAATCTTATCTTGATATCTTAATTAATTAACACTTGATATTTTAATTAATTAAGCTTCTTGGTTTTTTTTCTCCTGTCACAAAATTTTTATTAAATAAATTAATAAAATTCGCGAAATTTTCGCAATCAATTTGTTGAATAATTTGTTAACAACTTAATTAATAAGATGATCTTTAGTTTGTAATATTTTTTTTACTTGTAACACTCGTTATACGCCTCGAAATGTTTTATTAATCGTTTCCGATGTAACTTATATGTAACACGTGTATCGTAATTAATGTAATTATCTCCATCCAATGTGATATATATTTGGGCACTAATAAATGGCCCATCCTATCCGTCACTCTAATCGATTAGCCTTAAATTATGCACTCATCACAATTTAGACCCATAGCAAGTTTTATTTTAGGGACGGGAATGGATACCGGCATAAATAACTGGTCGACTCTATTTTTACATTTTACTCAATGATTGATAGCCAATCCGACATTTAGGTTGTTACATATTTATAGCATGATAATATTCCTTCGAATATCTTTCACTTTTGCGAATTGCTTTATATTTTTAAACACGATGACCATCGTACTTTAATAGCGTATGTCGAAAATTAATAGGAATCTTAATACGCAAATATCGAAATCGCAATTGTTTTATAAATTATATTATATTAATTATATTAATTATAAATAATAAAATTGATCAATTACACTGATCATTACATAGAATTTATGCATCAACTTCGCAATGGCAATTTTACGATATTTTATTTTATTTCAAATAATAATAAAATAATCTACATAGACTAAAATATAAATAAATAAAATATAAATAATTGAAATAGAATTGATTTCTTATAAAGATAATTAAAATTAATAATAATTATCATATTTTTTAGTAAGTAATCAGTAGCAATATTTTGTTATCGTATAAATATTTTATTTTATATTTGTTATTTCGAAGAAATCTCTAAATATTGTTCTCACACTTTTTGTATAATATAAAAAAAATATGAGAAAGCCAAATTGCAGATCTCACAAATTGTGTTAAAATAATATTAAGGAAAGAGAAAAGAAAAATAAAGTATAATATTCAAATATTATACTTTAACAATTTTTCTCTGTTGTACTTCATAAATATTAATATTTATTTTTTATAGATATATGATATTTAAGTTTCTGTCTCGTGTTCCATGAGATAGAATATCATATAAGGAATATAAATAAAATTTTTATATTCTAGAACTATATTTTATTTGACATTTTTCTTTTATTACTGTCTATGTATTTTTCTTTCTTTAAAGAAAAAATTTAATCAAGTGTAATGTATTTAATAAATTACCTTTCTAGCATTATTAATATGGTGTAATGTTTTCAATCACATTTCTTAAAATCTTGTGCAGTATAACTGCGGAGTAAAAAATGTAATAAGCGTGATAATATCTTTACTAGAATTAGAGGTCTTTTGCGAAGATCACTTTATCATTTTTGTCACTGTTTTTCAAACTTGTATTTGTTGAAATATTTCTTATTTCGTAGCGCATTTTCCAAGATCAAATATTAATCTATCTTAGTTTATACATTTTTCAAGTCAACGTATTTATGAGGTGTCATATTTATTTATAATATTTATTTATAATATTTATACGTATGCTTTCAACTCTTTGTACGTCTACATACATTTTACATATATTGAATGTAACTTTTTCATAACTCCATTACATCGAATTAGAAGAAAATGTAATTTATCATTCATCGATATCGTACATATAGCGAACAACCAAATAGCGAAATATAATAAAAGCACATTGATCAATAAAATACAAATATGTCTGAATTAAAGAAGAGCTACGAAAATACCAAATATTTCGAAAAATAATTGCTATAACCGCGCGAATAAAGCAAATATAAATGATTTATTTCGACAATAACAAATGAGAAATAATAAATAATAAATAAATTACTCAACTGATAATTGCTCCGCCATTGTTCGATGCCTCCTCCCGAGTCTCCTCTTTTGGTTTATTACTCTCTCGTGGCATTTATTCTCACTCACGAAAACACAAAACACATTAATTACGATCGCGCGTTTTAATCACAATAATCACACGGTGCCTTTGGTTGATTACACGATGGCACTTTCGATAATAGACTCGCGTCAATAAACACGCACTTTACTTTACATTGAAAAAAGTAAATAACGTGAAAAATGTACGATTCGTTCGACGATATCTCAAGAATAGGAAAATTATTTTACGAAGTTACGAACGACGAATATTTATAACTAATGTACACGCCCAATGATAATATGGACAAATTTATACGACTGATTAACATTAAGACACCGCAGTTAATTACGACGATACTTACTAAATGCGTCGATCTGTTTCGCTCGTAATCGAGACATTCGTCATTTTGATATTGCGCGATATAACGCGATTGATAAAGTCGAGATAACGATTAATAACGAGACGCGATGGACCGACCGAAAATACGTAATCGAAATTCAAACGCGAGATGCGCATTATTAATAAATAAATACGGTCGATATAATAACAATTATTACGGTTTTCCGCTTTTGCGCTTAAATCATTCGTGCGAGCTGATGATTTGCGCGTTGCTCCATATTCTCGCCCCTGTCTCTCTTTCTCTCTCTCTCTCTCTCTCTCTCGATCCGAAAGCGATGATTTACATTTCACAAAAAGCAATTACGTTTAATCACGAGAAATTAGAAACGCTACGCGAGATATACGCGAATCCGAGCGTCACGCAACAATTGACGCCCGTAAATAATCGAGACGATAATTTATAATCCCGAATTCCCGTCGCTTCGTTTCCTACCGAGCCGAACGAATACCGATACGCTTTATCGTGGGACGATAATCGCTATTTCTCCGCTAATTACATCCCGAGGGGTAATGACGCGACACGCGGAGCGACCCGCGTCGCTGCCTGCCGGCTCGAGTCCCCGCGAGCGAGTGACGAGCCTCGCGACAACAACACCATGTTATCAAAAGAAGTACCAAGGTCGCTGCCTGCCGGCTGTTTTGTTGACACGAAACGTTCATTGTACTACGAAATAATATTATTACCGAATATTCTACCTTTATTCTCTAATAAATTAATCATCGATATGTAATCGATGTAACACGATTTTTCGCCATCTGATCGGCGACTATTGTCGCGTATTCTCTCAGTCGGCATATAAATAAAATTAGGTTGGTAAAGAGTTTAAGAAAATTTACATTATATAATTTGCATAGAAGCGGGATATTACACTAATTTTGCAAGAGATTTTTGAGATTTAACAGAACAGAAAAGAATAGCCTTAAGTCAAGACTATATATTCTCATATATAAATAAAAATATATGTATTATAATATATTTATATAGAAGATTTTTAGTCTGAAATTGTGCAAAAGTAATACTTGCATCAACATCAATCAAATTCAAGTCAAGACTAACGTTTTTAAGAAGTTTACAATATTCTTGTTTATATGGGAATATTTGTTTTGATTTAAAATTAATTTTTTTTGCATATGATTTTAATTCTCTATCGCTATGATTTCTATTTTAAATGAATAAATCGCACTGAAATATTTACTTAATTGTCTTGTCTTGATGCATCTTGAAGCTATTAGTTATATAGGATTAATTAATCAGACAAGTTGATTATTTGATTCGTATTAGTGTTGTAATTATTTACAAGGAATAAATCATTTTTCAACAGATATAATAACACGATGAGACACAGGTGGATTGCATTATTATCTGTCGGTTTGACTATCGCTTTGTAAATGATACAAGGTAATTGCGTGTAAACTATACGATATGAAGGACGTATGTCAATTCATTAAATACAAAATAATGTATTTTATATAAATATCAAATATTCTGTTCCTCGGATTTTAAAGTAATCTCAATGTTGAATTATTATGTATTAAATCTAATATAGTTATTTGATGAATATGATTTAATAAACTTAGTTATACGTAAATTATTACATATAAAGTATCATATAAATAATTTACATATAAATTACAAAACGTAATTACATTTAAATCGCAAACATTACAGTTTATGAATTATTTGTTGTTGTTTTTGCGAAATTTTTATAAAAAAAGAAACTATAAACTGTTAATAAGTAATCGAGAATATTTTGTTCAGTTTTAATAAATCGAGAAAATGAAATAACACGCCTTATAGGAAAATATGATGATGCATTTTTTTCTCGGTTTATTACAGTCACGTAATATTTCATTTTTCTCGTGACGTAAAAGTTTCCACGAAAGGTAATAACGCAAAATTATCATATGTAAAATTTCCAAAAAATTTGTTACAAATAATAATGATAAATTACAATCTGTATTTTTTGATTACGTAAAATAAAAATAAATTTTATTTTTGATATTTAGATTTAATATAAGATAGATTTAGTAATTGTTTTGAAGTAGAAGTAATCGGTCATTTAAATTTTTATTAAAGAATAAATTTTAAATAATTTGTAAGTTAAAAAGTTTTAATTTATTATTAATCACATTAATCACATTAATGTCAGCTAATTATTATGTACGTGATATTTATTATATATAAAATATCACAAGATAATATCAAGCAGTAAGCACAAGATAATATCAAGCAGTAAGAATCAATATCAGGCGAGCTATTCAATAATAGGTGACACGGATCGACACGTATGTAAACGCACGAATCGATCAAGCGTATTTTATCAACGCGACATTTTATCAACTTTGATTGCGCGACTCAAAAACAATTGTCGTTTTAATATAGACACTTTAATTACTCTCTGAAAAAAATTATTTGATGTGCCACTACATATGTTTGCTTTTTAATTTTGGTTTTCAACGTTCGAGATACGATCGCACGCAGATCGTGTGTCCTTACTTGTTCGAGACCTTGTTCTCCCTACGATTTTCACAACAACAGAGATAATATTACGTCGAGATGAGACTCTCGTTGCGGGATTCAGGAGAAAGTACAGCTTTCGACGATTGCTCTTCAATATTTTCTCGCTCGATGCGAGCGCTTCAAACGTCGGCACGCGGGGCGGCCATGCAACCGCGAGCCATTCGCGAGTTTCTCACGCGCGAAGCCAAACGGCAGCGAGCAACGAACGGCGAGTAATTTGCCGCGTGTCCAGTTTTCATACTCGGAAGCAAACGGTAATGCCCGGCGCGCGCGGAATCACGAATTCACCGTACCAACGACGACACGGCAGTCAAATGATTCACGCGTTTCCGCGCGAATCTATTACCGCCGAGGGAGTATCGTCGGTCTGATGACGTTTACGATGTGCGTGCCGCGTCCGCATCGCACAGACACACAGACGAAATCCGCATCGCGAACGCGAACGAAGGCGCGCGTTATGCATTTTTATGCGCAAGCGATAATGTCCGTAATAATTTGTACGTTTGCTTAGCGCAATTACGATACCGAGCGTAACAGTATCTTGAGAGGTGAGCTCTCGAAGGAGCGGCCGGTTCTCTCGCTATATATATCTCGGATATAATCATTTATATAATCGCTTATATCATTACGCTTGTCATCTGCATTTCTCCTCTAAGGGCCCGCTTGTCTCGGACGAGAAAGAAAAAAAATCCACGAGCGTTACCGTTCGGCAATTATTCGCTCGTTACTCGGACTGTTTATCTTGATCGTCCGGTAGCGGAATTTCAACGCGATTGAGATTATATACGCCGACCATCGAAGATCACAATCCACCTTTATCCATTTTATAGCTTTATCTCTAAGGAAGATAACGTGGCGAGTAACGGCTTTCTCTGCTCCAGTTGAGAGTAGAAGGAGTGTCCAACTCGAGCAATCCGACTCGAGAGGGACGACGTCACGAGATATTGTACTAAGATATTGAAAAATCGTTAATTCCTTTCTTTTCAGTCGTAACTTTCAAATTAATTTTTTAGCATTATTAGTAGTAGTTTTAAAGTTCGATTGAATAAACGTGTTATCGCGATTTAAATTAAAAACGTCTAACCAAGCCTTAAATAAAAATTATATGTATGTTCAATAAAAATTGTATTTAAATAAATACATATAATTAAGTAAGTTATACTCTTACTTATAAAATTATAATTAAAACAAAATTTATTTATACCTTAGGTAAAACAGAGTTTAAATTGAATAAATAACATTTTAAAACAAATACAAATTATTTTATAAAAGTGTTTTAAACTTTTACCATTAAAAAGGAATATCGGTATACAGAAAAAAACATATATTCAGATATTCGTTTTACGTTACTTTTATTTTCATTTGTATTTTTATAGTTGTTCAGAGAAAGTACGCGACTTCTGATACACCTTGTATAGCGAATGAAACATAGGTTACGGTGGTCAAATCACACTACGTGTACAGTCTCATGTGAATCGAGCGATGCTATATGAGTATACACAATGACGTAGCTGAAATATACAAAGGAAAACTTACGTTCTAGAAGTCGCTCGTGGGAATGTGGATAGTCGAGTTGTTTCCTCACCGCTTCTCCGACGATACCTGAGAAAACAATGATACTGATCTTTATAGTACACATTACACATGTAATGTGTCGCATTTATTATTAAGGCTCGTTATAGCATCAATTAGGCTAATTACAACTGGATATGGACGTGATAGTGCATCTTACGATATAATAAAATCCAGTCATTATAAAATTATTATGGAGTTATGATTGTTAACTTAAGTCACAAAAGGATCACTAATAAGTGGTGACTTCTAGTTTTATTCTTGAACAATATCGCGGTGATTACATCACACGCGTATGATACATACACAGCTGATCTCATTGTATGCTTTAAAAGGAATATTTTATATATATAGTAAAAGAATGAAAGCGCGAATTCATTACTTTTGTCGCTAGTTCTTCTGTAACGTAACATTCTCTTGTTCAATTAAATTAATATGTTTGCAATTTATTACTCTTTCCCACCGTTACGCGATAATATTGTTATAACAGTCTTTCTCGTATTTTTATCCACTGTTTAACGTTTCTGAAGTTGAGTTAGTCATTTTTGTAAAAAAAAAAAAAAAAAAAAAAAAAAAACGAATTTTATGTCTTCTCTCGGGACAGATGTTGTCGAAGCTGATACTATTGCTCTGGGCGGCAATTCCGATTGCCTTGTCCCAGAGCAACTATGCATCGCAAGGCAACAGCATCGAGTACCAGGCGTCCGGATTGCCGCCGAGCACGGTCCTCGACGGCAAGGTCACCAAACTGGACGACATCTCGCCGGTTATATTTCTGAATCGAACGAAAGCCTATCTGAATTGCGGCCAGGGTAGCATGGAGGTCGAGCTCAAGTTTGAGGAGCCGTTTTACGGAGTGGCCTACGCCGACTTTGATCGCAATAGCGCCTGCATATTCAAGGGACGGGGCGCGACGACCGCCAAATTGGAACTACCTCTGAAGGGTATGTCCCACAAATCAAATTCCGACGTTTATTTAGCGTATCACTGTTTATTTCACGGTGTAATGTAAAGAAATTATCCCTCCATCCTCGAGCGTGCATTATTTCTCTTAATTAAAATTATACAATAAAATGATAATCCAGAAATATAATGATTTAATTGTTTTAATTCAATTTGTATCGAGAAAACCTTTACAGAACGTAACTTTTGAAACCGAGTGATGATATCCGACGATTTGAGATTAAGATAATAATTTTGCTTCAATTCAAATTATTTATTTTTAAGACAATATAATTATTTAATTATTTTAATTTGTTGTACTTAGACAGCATCTTTATTTTTACGGAACTTTTTTTACTTATGTTATACTTAAAAATAATCTACATTGCAGGATGCGGTACAAAGCAAGACCCTCTACGTGTGTTCACCAATAATGTGGTTGTTCGCTTTCATCCTGGATTAGAAATGGACGGAGATGAGGTTATCACTATAGTCTGCAGATATCCTCCACCCGTAGCACCAGCACCTCCTAAGCCTCCTGAAAGCATGTAAGAGTCCTTTATTGAAATTCTTATCTCGTGAAAGTGTATTATATAGTTTTTTTAACCAAATCTATCGGCAAAATTTGTTAAAATTTTTTCTCAATAATGAGATTTATAATTTATTAAATTATAAATTATTTATATATTAACTAATTCAACGTTTTAAGCAAATTTATTGAATTGAATTAAATATTATAGTAAACAAATTTATAACAAACGCAGTTTTTTTCAAAAATGATGATAGAGAATGTAATTTAATTTTTCTTTTACGTGTGCTGTATCACCATTGCAACTAATAATATATAGATAAAGAATATATCTCAATAGCATGATGCATATACTTAAGATAATTATAATTATAAATTTATAATTCGTTTAAGAAAGAACGATAAATATCTTGAACGTCATTTGTTCTATCATTAAATCGCTATGTTGTATTACATTAATAACCGTTACCGCGGCGAAAAGCCAAATTTAATGTGCGACACGTATTATTAAGAAAACAAATTAAACACGGTTTTGTCCGCGTTATTGAAATTATTAAGCATCCGCGCTCAAGAATCGCGTCTAAATATCGTTGCATGCGTCTTCTCGCTGTGAGCCAAGAATAAGGAATAATATTCTGTATATTCAAAGCGACGCACGCCTTTGTTTCTTGCAGTGCAGTTACGCTTTGCGTTGAATAGCTGCGAGATATCACCACCGCTATTTGCGGCGTTTAATGACACTGGCTTCGCACCAGTTTTCTCGCCCGGGATCCCTCCCTCTAATCCAATTTCTGTTCCGCAGAATGGCCACGCTGACGCCTGCGTCGGTGACCGAGCCGCCGTTGAAAGGCTTCCAGATCCTGCTGATTATCTGCGCCATCCTGTTCCTCTCGTTGCTCCTGCTCGGCCTCGGCTGCTCGTACATGTGCCTGAAACGCCGAAACGTGCGCGTGGTCCATCGGCATCCGTTCGAAAGCGGCACCGGCTCCGAGATAACGAAGCTCTCCGGCTCGTCGCTGAGCAACATCACGATGTTCGAAGGCCTGAAGATACCGCGCGCGCACGCTTTCCTTCACGCGACCGCCGTCTCCACTTCCGGTAGCGAGGCGAATCTAGTGATCGATCATTCGGATACATTGCCGAGTGATTATCCGAGCGAGAGCCACTCCGAGGTGAGTCCCGATAATTGTCTAGCAAGACGGATGATTGCGCCAAAGCTTATTGGCAGAATATAAGATGAGAGCATCGCTCGTATTAATCCTATCGATATCGAATTAGGAGTGAGGAGTCTAAATTTTAGTATTTTCATGAATCTCAACAATTTAGCCACTTTATGATTTGTTGAAACCTTTGAATAAATTGTTTGAATAAATTGTAAAATATTCTTTTTCGTTATATTATTTCGCGAGACACTGCAAATTTTAATAACTATTTTTTGAATGTTATATATTGATTTATTTTTACATAAAAAATTTAAGATATATATGTTGAACATTTTTTTAGTTGCAAAAATATCAAATAAAAAAACCAATCGAATCTGATATAATCGATTCGGTCGTCTTTTATAGGTGGATGAAGAACGTTCTTTACCTGTATCCTCTGCCGGATCCTACGACAACAAAGCATTTGTGGATCATCACGAAGTTCAACATCAGCGTCAAGTTGAAATGCGTACTTCGAGCTCCCTGTACTCGGAGACAGTCGCCGCCGAGGTGGAGACCTCCTCGATGACGGCCGCGAATGCCTCGAGGGTCATGGTACCGCGACATCCCGTAGCCATTCCGATTGAACCCAAGTTCGATGTGCAGATGAGGGTTAAGAGAGCACCACCGCCGCCGAGTCCATTGCCATCGGAGTCCGACGTGGCGAGCATCGCTCTCGAAAGAAATCTGACAACTATTTTGGAGAGAGAGGAGACCTCTCGCTCGCTAGAAAGCGCACCCTACCGAATGACAACCTTCTCCTATGTACCGGAACTTCATGGGCCACCGGGAGGCGCGTCGTCCATCTCGACCATCTCTCGACAACAGACGCCACCGGTCTACTCCAGGATTCTACGCAAACAAGCGGAGAGGGAGACCACCGTGATCCAGGAGAAACTCCCGTCGCCGACTACCGAGCCACCACTGCTTCACGAGATCCGTCGCCCAAGGTCCCTGACCTCCTTGAACACCGAACTCACCGAGACCCGCTCGTTGACCGAGGTAACGGACGCTTCACACGCTAAGTACCGGGTGGCGAGTATCTTGGCACCTACCCCGCCGCCGCCGCCACCGATCGCACCCACCACGTCCACTACCACGACTCACACCGCCATTCAGCATCGCGAGCACCGTCTGTTGCGCGAGGAGATGACCGAACCGTTGGTCGAGCCGCAGGTGGTCGCGCCCCGCCGTCCGGAAATCACGACTCACGAGGTGGACGACGTGTTCCTGCGCACCGTCACGGAGAAGAAGACCATCGAGGACGTGGAGCGTCACTCTCGTCAGATCACCGAGTACCGCGCCAGGTCCCAACCGCCGCCGGATCTCAAGTGGGACGTCACCATTAGAAACTATCCGACGGAGGATCTACCGCCGCCTCCGCCGGAATGGGAGAACTTCTCCGACGTTAGCTCGGCCTCCAATCTGACCCTCACGAACGAACCGACGAACCACCTGGCGGATGACGAACCGGACGTGAACATCGAGCCGACTTACACCACGCGCGCCGAAATACCTTGCCGACCACCACCCGCTTCGCGTCGTTCCCTCGACGACGCCGATGCCGATTGGTACACCAGATTGGCGCGCGTCCTGGAGCCGCGTTACGCCACCGAGCTGACGGACGAGGAACGTGCCAAGTGGCGTGAGATTATCACGACGGAGAGCACCCTGCGAACCCTACTAACCGAGGCAGTGGTTAAGGAGGACTACGAGCTGATACGCAAGGACGCGAGATATGTCAATCTGTTCCCACCGGCGAAGTGGGACGTGATTATTCGAATCCTGAGTCCACCGTCGGCGCACACCGGTTCCACCTCGTCCTCCGGCCATGGCAAGAATCATGGGCAGAGATACAAACGATCCAAGTCATCGGAATGGGACACCAGATCCAGACGATCCTCTCTTCCTACTTTGTACGAGTACGAGAGCGATGGCGGCAGCTCAGCGCGAACCTTGGGTACTCAGAGTCATCATCTACAAACGTCGCAGTCCGCCACGACCATGACCAGTGGACAGATCATCGGCCGTCCACGTCGACTGGGCGGTTCGATTCGTTCGCGGGGAGCCGGAGCTGGTAGCGAGGCTGATCTGAGATCGATGTCCGAGATAACCGTCCGTGATTTCGCACGGATGGACAGGGACGACCTGACCAGCTTGAGCTCCTTCGAAGGCGCGGACTCGTTGGTCAGATCGCTCAGTCAGCCCAGCTTGGCCAGGTCGGGCTCGGAATTCACCGAGCACTGGGGCATGCCATCCAGCATTTTGCCACCATGGGCAACCACGGAGGATGGCGTCAGTTCTGTGGAAACGACCCCGAGGGCGATCAGGAGGGGCGACAGGCTGGAGGTCCTCGCCTCCTTCGACGAGCATAGACGGGGCCCATCTATCGCGAGATCGAGTCGATACACCGAAAGGGAGCTCAATGTTCGCGTGACGGAAAGTCAGAGGGCCTCGGACTGGTTCAACGACAACAATTCCGAGCCGGAGATGCAGATCTGAGCGGTTCCGAAAGATAGATTCTTGATTTTTACCTCGAGTCCTTTAGGTACGGAGATGTAATATTTCTAGATCTTGTCGAAGATCTGAGTAGAGTTATTAGAAACGAATGTCGATAACAGAGGCAACACCGTACCACTTGCACTTTACAAAATCAAATATCTCATCTCTTTGAATCCGTTGAGCGGTGAATTTTTTAATAATACAATAAAACCGGTTATTCGAACCATTTGGGTGCATTTCGATCGAGTCGATTTTCAGCGCTTTAAATGGCAGAAATGTCAGTTATATCAATATCGGGTATAACAATCGTATTCCGAAAAATTGATAACTTTTTAACAAAATTCTGAATGAAGATTGAAATTGTAATTCCGAGACGCTGGCGGAAAATTTTAAATTTTAGATACCGTTTGAATATGAAAGTGATAGATTGTCCGGAAAATCAAAAGAGAACGCCGCGAACTAGAGGGAGATTTGTTGAAGGGTCAGTAGAGTTTTCATCTCCTGATCCTTCGCAACTTTCATGTTCTCCATTCTATTTCACGAGCCACGATGGATACGATGGATTATGATTTATGCGGGCATCGCTCGTATTTTTCTTATGGGCACTTTTTCGGTTGGTGTCTACGTGACTCGCGCATTACGAGTGCATGCCGCGTTTGTTTTGCTTTCAACTCGGGACGTCTAATATGATCGATATCTTGCCAGGAAACGAGGCGCAGTGTGCACACAACAGCGACGAGATAACGTTTCCGCAACCGTCGAAACGTAAAAATTCACTTTATTTGTAGCGGCCAGTCCCCGCTGCGTTTCTTTCCTTTCGTTTTTTTTTTTTTTTTTTTTTCACGTCGGTTATATCGCTGCCCTACTTCCTTCACAGCTCATGGCCGTTCACTGCCGATTTCGTCCTCGCGCCCGACAGCTCGAGGACTCACGCTCAATCGCGCGAATGCAGAATTGTCCCAATTTCGGGTCGGGCATCCGACGTCAAGACCTCCCGATGTGTTGCGATAACCCGAAATTTGGGGAATTCGTCGACGCCACTCTCTTCACACGTCACTCGTAACGCGAGACGTAGATCACGCGAGTTACTCGATCTCGAAAGCGAGTGGGTCTGCAGATTCTGGCGAGAGTATCATTGTAAAATTCTTTGCACGGTTTGCGGAAATTAAGCCATTAAAGCCTACCTTTGTTGCCACTTTTTTGTCCCGGTATTCAGCTGTAATTACGCAGGTGATCATGCATAACGTATTGCAAACGTTTATTTTACGCGAATAAACTTTGAAAAGCCGTAGAACCATGAAAAATCATACTGGTAAACTGTAGAAAATACCGTCGGAAAATATATGAGTTGGAAGAATCGATAACTTCTAAAAATTGCGGGCTTCAATGGATTAATCGGCGAACGTGTCGACATTCGATCTCGACAGGGAAATAAAATAACGAAAAAAAATACAGGTTGGGAAAAACAATTAAATAATATAGCATAGTAATCACACACGAGAGGACATGGTAGCCGCGCGACGCGGCCTGCTCCTCAGCTTCCTAACGTTCGATGGATCGCAAGATCTCTTTCGAAGATCGCAGGGGACAATACGTATCTCTCATGACTAAAACATCCCCGTTTTGCGATACAGCTGCGATAATAGTCTACTTAAGTAGGTAACGAAACACACGGTGCTGGGTTATACGCTTCAAAAGATAGCTAGAACTCTCTATTTCGAGGAACATTTACCTAACCCCCCGTCCTCGCTCCTCTTCTCCCTCAAGCATCCCTCTCGATTTAATGTATTTCATCGGAGTACGTAAGCTCGGCCGAGATACGTATCGACCGACACGGTACGTTTGCGCGTAGATAGGTATATTTGTAATTACGTACTTTTAATGTATATTCACACGTATATTCTTTTAAATCCGTACGTAACCCTCCCCCCCCCGCGCTATCCTCGCGCAGTCATTAGGAGCTCACGAAGTCTTCCGAATCCCCGAATTGCAACACGGGAGAGAGAATTTGGAGGAGCGGATCCATCAATCATGTGTCACGGCGCGATTGCGACAGCTCTCGCGATCGTACATAAATCGTTTCGGAATTTCTCCAATTTCGCCTTGAAAAATCACCATCTTCGTTGCCACGAAGCAATGATACTATCCCCTTTGCTTTGCTTGCGTGTGCTTATTAAAATGGTCAGACGCCAATCTGCTAGCGAGGCAGATTGGAGTAACGTTAATTTTCGAGCTTATTTCTGAAGAAATATTCGCGCGAATGTTTAATGCAATAATAATATGAGATATCGTAAATCGCAATATATATATATATATATATATATATATAATAAATTTTAGTATTTAAAGTAAACTAATATAGTATTTTATTTAAGTTAATTGTACATATATATATATATATATATATATATATATATATATATATATATAAGAGTTCGAACTAAACTCCTAAATTATAATTATAATTCCTAATACGCGCTGACAGCCCATAAACCGCATGTTTGAGTGAGTTGTAAATCATGTAACCCTCGTCGCTTCATATTACTCTGCGCGAGATTAATTTACGTGGCACACGAAGTGTTGTCGAAGTTATGATAAAATAGCGCAAGTTCGACGGTGATCAGGCCCGCGCGAATAAATGGAAAGTGTAATACGATCTTTAAGCGAGTTGCGAAGACTATGGCTATTAATAAAATTGATTACTAAAAACAGGTTTTTGTGTGCTGTTATTCTTATTACCGAGTATAAACTCGATGACTTTACTGAAGAAATCCCCTGCTTATGCAAAGTATTGTTTCATTTGCAAAAGAGATTACTGCTCCAGTCAGTGTATAAAATACTTTCTTCCGAAATTTCGAGATAATTTCATTCAAACATTCAATATACACTCGGGAATTGAATAAATCGAAAATATATTTTAAACTTTAATTTCGATAAATGTATGTAATTACAATTAAAGATGGATCCATTAAATATATCTTTCGAATACGTACATAATTTCTAGTGTTACCGAATAATATATTCATCATGTCGTGTGAAAGAAAAGCGAGTGAGAAAAGGGAGTGGAAGGTAAGAAATAGCATTCGAGAAAATGCCGAATGCGAAGCATCTCTCATAATAATCAGATTGCAGATCGGCCGTGAGAACTTATACGGACCGCTCGCCCGGAACAATCGGAGAGACGTCTAAATTAATTACGGGCCGAGGAAAGAATTCTGCAAAGCGGGACATCGGCGGGATTCTCATCGACAGCCTCGGGCGATCATGGGGAATGAGGATCCCGAGGTCGGTATAAGAAGGAGAGACTGAAAGAAGGAAAAAGAGGGCGCGGAGAGTACGGGGGGGGGGGGGAATAGGCCACATGATGGAGCC